GTAGCACATGACGAAGAAAAATCTCCGTCATACTGAGCAAAATCTTCGTTTTGCTTCGTCAATGGCGAGGCGCTGACGAACCTTTACGAAGATTTTTCTTCGTAAACGTTCGTCAGTGACGAAGCAAAACGAAGGTTAATCTTCGTTTACCCTCGTCAATGACGAACGGTTACGAAGAGTTTGCTTCGTTTTGCTCCGTCACTGACGGACGTTTACGGAGATTTTCCTTCGTTTACCTCCGTCAATGACGGACGTTTACGAAGGTTTGTCTTCGTTTTGCTTCGTCATTTACGAACCAATAGGAAGGCAGTCCGTGGACTTTCTATGTAGATGTATGATTGGACCAAAAATAATACAAAGAAATTTTTTTGTTGAACAATTAATGTTACGTATAATAACGTCAAAGGGTTATAAAGTGAGGTATAATGTGGATTTGTGTTCATTAAGGTAAACGTCAGTGTTTGTTTGCGTACCTTTTTGTCCCGGAAATAGAAGTGCGCGGTCATTTGATTGCTCTACGGTTTCCCATTGGTCTCCTTGTCGGTACGTCCGTTATTCACTTCAGACACTTTTTTTGTTTAAGCAGCGTTACGTAAGCGTTTGTTCATTTAATATTTCATGTTCTAGAGATGCGTAGTCGTTTAACAAGACGTCGTTGTTCGTTTGCGTTACCTTCTGCACGCACATTGAGAATGCGATTGCTGCTTTTGCGTAGACTCGCAGAGCGTGAGGCATTCAGTGAGCGCAACCATAGCCCCACTTGTAACGTGGATGCAATTATGGGAGGTAAGGTTCACGGACAACCTTTTTGTGTGTTTGTAGACTTCTGCGTCTCGCCACCGCGTAACCTTTCAGATGCGGACCACAACCGCTGTATACGCGAATCCCCCGACCTACTTTCCGTTCAGTCACCAAGGACGGAAACCGAGAGTGATGACGTGCAAAGCATGAGCTGCGAAATAGGGGAGCATGATTGCACTGCTATAGATTTGACTACGTCACCAACGCCGTGTGATGAGGCACGTAGTTTCCTCGCATCATGGGTGCTTAATACCAACACCTCCGCTTGGGCTGTTAACAAGCTTCTGGAAGGGTTGCGTAAGTTTATACCGTCTCTACCGAAGGATTACCGGACGTTGATGAGAACTCCAAGAACCACTAACGAGATGGAGGTACATCCTGGTACGTATGGTCACATGGGGATAATTGACGGTCTGAAGATGGCTTACCGTTGCGAACGTGTGCCCACCTACCAGAGCATTCACCTGCAGTTGCATGTGGATGGGTTCTCACCATTTAATTCATCCGGTGTGCAAGTTTGGCCCATTTTGTGTAGGTCTGTGGCGCCCTTGATATCGCATCCATTTTTGGTTGGTGTGTACTCGGGTCCACGAAAACCGTGGAATGTACACCACTTCTTGGCTCCACTTGTAACGGAATTGAGAACGTTACTTCGAACAGGCGTTATGTTGCCCGGGCGGTCTACACCAAACGCTGTGCGTATCTCTAATATCAATTGTGATGCACCAGCAAGATCATATGTGAAGCGTAGTAAAGCACATTCCGGGTACGGCAGCTGCGACAAATGTGTGCAGCGAGGTGTTTATGTCTCTGGGAAAGTAACCTTTCCTTGCACCGATTGCCGCCTACGTACCAATGAGTCCTTCCGTGCGCACTGCCGTAGCAAATGGTCACCATTTGAATACTTGCCCATAGACAGGGTGGAGCAGTTTCCTATAGACTATATGCATGCTGTTTGCTTGGGTGTTATGCGGCGCATGATATCCTTGTGGACAACTGCCGCCGCTAGCAAGGATTTTCGCTTGGATATGGACACTGTGTCACGTCTTAACGATGTACTTGACATGAATCGGTGTCATTGGCCGCGTGATTTTCCACGCCGTTGTAGAAGCGTAGATAAGTTCAGATGGTGGAAAGCGTCTGAATTTCGGCAATTCTTGTTGTATGCCGGACCCGCGGTTCTGGCGGATATTTTGCCCCTGGACTATTACGTCAATTTCTTGGATTTGCATTTAGGTATTTATCTGCTTTGTCATCCTTTGCTATTTAGAAAATGTTGCTCTTTTGCACATAATGTACTTATGGTGTTTATTTCGCGTTTCTTCAAACTGTATGGGGCTGAAGAAATGACATTCAACATGCATTCGCTGTGTCATTTGGCACAAGATGCGTATGCACATGGGACACTGGATGATTTCTCCGCGTTCCCTTTCGAATCTTACATTAGGTGTCTGAAAAAGCGAATACGAAGCCCAGTGAACATCGTTCCTCAGCTTTTGCGACGGTGTATGGAGTTCCAGGGAAACTTATGCAATGGTAATGAGCCCTCCAACTTATGTGAAACTATATCCCTCATCGAAATAAATAGGCAAATGGGTTTTAGGTTACATGGGACCGTGTTTTTCCCAAGCAAACCGGACAACGTAATCATCGTAGGAAAGAAACCGTACCAGATAGTATCGTTGCAACCGGACGTTGCTGCAACCGCATATGTTAACTGCGCATCATTCCTACATCTCAGAGATTTATACGTCCATAGTATGCCATCTACCAGGCTGTATATTTATGTTGCTAATGGTGTGTCTGATGACTTGCGGCGGTTTCCTATTCATGACATCCTATGCAAATGCGTATGTTTCACCGTTGGTTTAGACGAAGTCATCATCCCATTGCTGCATACATTTAGAACGCAAAAACCCAGGGTGCCGTAGGTTTGCGGTGTTGTTGACCTATGCCATGATCACAAGGTATGCGTGCTGCAGGATACCCTTACATATGGTGCTAACGGCATTTACGGACTCCGCCTGTTTATCCGCATGGTATATGTGACCATTTCATTATCCTTATGGTAACACTTTATCTGGAGACGGAAAAGAAAGCAAAATGATAATCGAAAAAGACCAAAAAATTCAAACATCTTGAAAACTCAAGAATGCGGCCCATGTTGATAACAGGTAATCAAGTACCTCTATTCCTTTGTGCCCACAGACTCCGGTAAGTGCCGCTTTTTGTTATGTCCCAGTTATGCGAGATGACGTCAATAATTTCCCTTGCACTAACCAACACGGAAAGATGGATTGAAGGGGAACTTGCGACAATCCCGACCTGAGGAACATAGGAAGGCCACGATGTGATTTAATGTTGTGTATCTGGAACCATTACGGATGACACCCATTAAAATATACTCCTTCCATAGCTTACTTCCTAGTGTTCCATCTGTAGTCTGCGGTTGTATGTGTTGTCTGTTTTCCCGCTTTTTCCGGGGGCGTCCAGCAGTTGCATGCTTACGGTAATCACGTATGTAATGGCTTCTACAGATATGTCGCTGTGGGATTACTGCGTTGTCACTTACGCGCACGACGGTGTGTCCCAAGTGAACACAATAAGCAGCAGATGGCTGTTGGAGGACGGGCAGCATGCTCTTTTGCCCAACCTTCCACTGTTCGATTACCACCAGGCGGTGCGGGAGCACAGATACCCAATAGCTGATTGCAAAATGTTTCCAGTGACGGTACTTCATCGTACAGGTAAGGACATTCATTTAATCATTTGCAGTGCATTTCGAGGACGCACGCCGACTGGAAAGCACCGTCGGGGATCAACGTCATGGGACGGACACCGATTGCACCATCCCCATGCAAACATCACCGAAGCGAGTTATGTAATGCGCTACACATTTGATAACGCAATGCATTGCAGACGCCTGCCGGCGAAACTTCGTGATTACGGGGATGATAATGTACCGACCAGAAAAAAACGGTGCAACGCTCCTGCATCTGCAACCTATGGGAGATTTCCTGAATTCTCGTTGGAGGACTTGGCGCGGCATAACATGCCTCCTCAGATTGCTGATGACGTCCAGGTGGATACCCACATGCGTAAGTTCCCTTTTCCGTAATTCCGTTTTCCGCAACAGGTGGATGTAATGAAGTAGCCGTTCAAACGGAGGGTATGAAATGCTGTAAGTCCTCCGGTTTTGCACTTTAGATACACGCCCTGGCAGGCAGGTGTCATGAAGCTGACAAAAGGGTCATGCACACTTTGCACGCTGTGGTCGGTATGTTTGAGCTTCTTACTTGCGACGAATTAGCAGATTCACTTAGACGCGTGGAGGAGACCCTTCACGTATTGAAGGAGAGGCACGCGGCCATGAGACAGGCCATGTGGACTGCAAAACCAATGCAACCTAATGAATTATCTCTACCTACCTCAACTATTGAGGAATTCATGGATTTAGAGGGTAAATTGGTGGACCCAGACCTCCGTCGAGAACTGGTAAGTCACCTTGCAGGATTTTCCATTCATGACTTAGACTACTCGCATGAACTCAACAACCGCAGGACCGGTATCGGAGGCTGTTCGATAAATGATGGAAAGGGTTCTGAACAGAGAGGTCTTGAGGCAGCTTAACTTCGCGGGTGCAAACAACGCGATACCGTTCAAGAAAATGCACACATACAGTGCGCTTCAAGGTAAATCAGATAACCTTTCCCACTTTATCTTCCTTCACAGAAGTTATCGTTAACCGATTTGGGGCCACGGCCAACGCCGTAGCGAACGGCGTTTGCAAATGGCTACAGATTACCCGGAGCAATCTGCACCGGCGTACATCTGCCGCATCAAGCAGTCAGGAATCGCAGGTATTGTGTACCTTTAATGCCGTACATAACGGCTTCTATTACAGCCTTTTGATTTGATAGATTTAGACAATCAGAGCAATCAGGAAACACGGACAAACTTGTAAATGTTTACATGCACTTTAATATACATTTGTAACCATTTTCTGGTTTGCTTCAAGCGCTCCCTGGTATTTCCGCATATGTGATACGATGTCACCGTCTCGGCGCGTATTGTGACTACCGCTTTCGACTACTGCGTGACTGGAAAGAAGGCACTGCAGGCCATGGTCTTTCTTTTATCAAAAGACAGGGACAACTACGTTGCGCGGTTTCATATTTCGCCGTAGCTGATAACGTACGCTCGTTCACATTTGCATTAAGATGTCAGCCAGCTGTTGCAATGGTGTGGGATTGACTGAATCACAAATGCGGTATTTACTCCCTGGTCATTTCGTTACCTAGTCGGACGGGGAGAAGGGAAATCAGGCTGCAAATACCCTATGGGTAAGTGGACAATGTACTCTTCGCAGCAGTCTGCTTACGTATTGCTTTCATGTATTGTGCGTCCACATTTTTGAAAACGTTCACTGGGACGTGTACGGCAAAAGTACGACCGTTTCCGGTACCTTATGAAAGGAAACCGTGCTATACTAATAGCTTCATAGCGATTAGTTAGGAGCATTTGGCTTACGCCATAAGGAGAAACCTCTTCCTGTAGGCTTACCGAAAGCCTTGAATCGCGTCCCTCACGTGAACGTTACCCTTTGGTAAGGTAGCCCATTAACTAAGTGATCCCTTACTTTCGCATCGTTATTAGCATGACCATCCTTGCAAATTACGTAGAAGAATCGCAGAATGGCGTCGAAAATCTTAGTATGGCTTCATAAGTACGAAGAGCAACCTTCGTATATATTGAGAGAAACCTTAGTATAGCTTCTTCAGTAAGGTGAACGACGTTCGTACTTGCTAAGAGACTTCACAGTATTGCTTGCTAATTACGGAGCGCAGCCTTCGTATATACTAAGGAAAACCTCCGTATTGCTTCGTATTTACGAGAGCAGCCTTCGTATTTACTAAGAAAAACCTTCGTATATACTAAGGAAAACCTCCGTATCGCTTCGTATTTACGAAGAGCAGCCTTCGTATTTACTAAGAAAAACCTTCGTATTGCTCCGTCAATACGGGGAAAAGCCTTCGTATTTACTAAGAGAAACCTTCGTATTGACTAAGGAAACGCTAGGTATTCCCTCCGTCATTACGAAGGCTGCGCTTCGTATTGACGGAGAAAAATCTTCGTTTACCTCCGTAAGTGCGGTCCGTCTGTCCTGTGACTGGTTGCGTATGCCAGACGCATACACTTGCGCACCAAAAACTACACAACCGATTGGCGGACAACCACCTTCGTATTCCTCGTGTCACTCAGCGGCAAACACTAAGCTTTTACGAAGGTAAATCTCAGTTTACCTTCGTAAAACCTTCGTATACCTTCGTACTGTGTCCGGACACGTATAACGAAGAAAAATCTTCGTATACCTCCGTATTTGCTAGCAGGGT